CCTGGGTGTGCCACCTCCCAACCAGAGCCCTCTTACCTGAGCCCGGGATGAGTAACCTCCCCCCAGGCAACCCTGGCCTTGCCCAACCGGGCCAGCCAAATCAGCGTCCGCTGTGGGGCGGGATACCCGCCCCTGGGTGCGTCACCCACAGCTGGCAAGGAGGGAAAGGGCGGGAGTCAAGAATCCCCAACAGCTCCCAGGAGAAAGTCTTTGTGTTGGAGGGGACAAGGGAGAATGCTGAGGTTCAAAAAGCAGAAGGGTCCATTCACTCTGACTGACCAGTCAGGAAATAGTGAATGTGTTCCTACAGTGTACAGCAGTCTTTCACCTGGGTGCCCCTAACCTAAAAGCCAACCATAGCCTGGCCTCACAGAGGTGGCAATATGGTGGTAAAGGGGGTGGGAGTAAGAGAGATGGGAATCAAATCATCACACAATTTGTTATTTACAACAGGATAGTGAGGACAAAAGTGTGGGGAGCTAGAAGAAGGTTTGAAGTCTTGAAACGAGGGCTAGCCAGTGAGCTTCCCTAAGATCATTTTGAGTTATATTGCAAAGATAGGGAGGATTTAGGCAAAGAAGCAGGCCCTGGTGGGGCAGAGTGCATTACAGCACATACAATGAACAGGAAATAGCGCATGACCCTCCAAACAGAGGGGAGCAGTGAGCCTGGAGGTCAGAGGTGAGGGGAGAGGGTGGAAACTGAGGCAGAAGAACCAGGGCATTACAGACCCTAAGAAGAGACTTGGATCAGTTCTGGAAAAGGTGGGAATCTTTGAGAGGGAGGGTCTAAGTCAGTGGAGGAACACAAGCGAATATGCTTAATACAACAGACCTGGAAAATAAAAGTCCATGGAAAAGTGAATGGAAAAAAATGATTCATTAACCCCCCACAGAATACTACACAGCACCAAAAATGAGTCAACTGCTGGGATCACAAAACTTAAGGTTCAGTTCAGGCAGCCTTAAATAAAACAAAGCATACTGTGTGACTCCATTGATACCTCCTAGAACAAACACATCAGTGATGATAGAAATCAGAACAGGGCAGCTCTCCAACCTACCTGTGACTATGCAGGTACCTCTCTTTCTTTCTCCTTTTCCTAATAATCTGTACTTATAAAATGTAAAAACAGAGGGTGACCTTGAGGAGGGCTTTCTGCAGAAGAGCAATAGTGAGGCACTCACAACTATCTTCATCTAGGTGATAGTTACACGTGTATACAGCTATGAAAAGAATCACCAAGCTGTGTACTTCTGCACTTGACTGTGTATACGTTATACTTTTTCAAAGAAGGGAAAAAAAGAGAGAAGAAAATGTCACTGTGGCCTCTGTATTGAAAAAGAAAGGATTCTACAAAGAGAGGGAGAAAGTAAGGAGACCAGTGAGGGCCCCAGACGCATGGCTGAGGTATTCTATTGCACACTAACAATGTCACAGGACATCATCAGACAGGACGCAGTCAAGGCGAGATGAGGAGCATCGTTACCATGTCCGAACATGGAAACAAACAAGAACCCTGGCAAGCCACACAATGACTAAGCATCCCCATGTCCTGGCTAATATAATGATTGCTTATATCATCTTGTGTTATGTTATATTATAATTGATATTAAGTTACAGTTCTAACTTTGTTTGTTTCTCCTGATCGACAGATAAGATTTATCTATGGCAGGAAAAATAGCGGCCATCTTCATAAAGATATTATCTGTTCCCCAGGCCCCTGTTGGGTACCCCCATTCCCAACAATGACTAGTGCCTCAGTCACACAGGTGGGGTCACTTGGTGAGGCTCAGAGAGAAAGTGAGTGACTATGATGTCACTCAGCACTGGCCTTGGAATATCAGCCCCCTCACTTACTGTTTGGGGGCTGACCCTGCTTAAATGTCCTCACCTACCTGAGCCACTGAAGTGTCTATTTTATCATTGAAAGAGTTCTTTCATGGTGGATTGAGGTAGTGGGCAAAGTATTGTTTGGAATCAGACCGAATGAAATTTTAATCCTGCTGCTGCAATTCTCTTTCTGGTTGATTTCAATCAATTTGGTCTCCCTCTTTGAATTTCAAAAGCTTCATTTGCCAAAATGGTCTGAAAACCCATATCTCCTGAGGGGTGTAGTGCGGACTCAGTGAGTGGCAAGCAGGATGATGATACTACTGTTATTGTCTGCTCAGGAGCAAGAGGCCCTGCTGGCCCCAGCTGCGTGGGAGAGTTTCAGGGAGGAACCCCAACTGGCCTGACTGGAACAACTAGCATCTTGGGAGGGAGTGGGACCCAGGGTGGGGAATCTCCTCCTGCTCAGGCCTGCCCGGATTCAGGGATCTGACACCCCCCACATACCACCAACCTCCCCCCCACCTCTGCCCAGCACTAGAGAGCCGAGGGAGGCTTGAATTCTGGGGACCACCACACAGGTCTGCTATTGTACCTCCTCTTCTCACAAAGGTCTCTGCAAAGAGATATAGAAATTGGTTCCTGGGAACAAGAATGAGAGGGTCAGTGAAGAGGATCCCCAGGGGGCCACAACAGGACCTCAGACTAGCCTGGGGCCATTTCCACTCTTGGTTTCCCATCCCCAGAGCTGGGCATGCTCTGAGCCCAGGAGTATTCCCACTTTGTCACAGACCCTCCCTCTGGAAAGTACTGCTGGGTTCTGTCAGGATAGGGGTGGGGCAGAGGCAGGGCCAGCTAGGCAATTTGCAAAATGAAAATACTGGGATCTGGTTCAAAACGTTGGAAAGAGGGCTGTTAAAGGTACTAATATAAAAAAAAAAATTTTATCCCCATCTTCTATCTCTCTTGGCCACTCCAGGTGTTAAACGTGATGCTCAGGGTGCTCAGGGGGATGAGCGCAGACTGACACAGGTATCCAGAGTCTAATCAAAGCAAACTGATTGAGGGTTCCTGTTCCACCATTTGTCCACAACCACACCCCACCATGACCAGTCCCTGACCCTGAACTTCCCATGTGCGCTGAGGCCCTGCCAAGGCGGGAGGGTGGCAGTGGTCACAAGGATTGGACAAGGGAGAAGGCAGCCAGAACCTGCCCAGGGGAGGCTCCGACCCAGGCTCCAGTCCTCCCCAGCACATGCTCCACTTCCCTTCAGACTTCACTTACAAAGCATAGACTCAAATACAAAATTAAGAACCAAAGAGCATTAAACACATAGGACTTTTTCTGCGCATGGGGAACTTGTCAGCTACACTGGTCATATGCCCATGAAGCTGGAGGCCTAGTATTCAGAGGGACTGGGGGATGAATGCAGGTGTCTCAGATCTGGAGGTGAAGGTCAATAGTCACCTGAGTTCCCTGAGGGCTTGGTAATTGGAGTGTTTATAATACCAGGACTCAGGAGCACCATCTCTGGATCTTCAAGGAATCCTGAGTATCCTGGGTATCCAAGATACCCAGGTCCTAAGGAGATAGGAGGCAGAAGAGATGAATGCCTAGATCCAGAGAGGTTTGAGCAGGGAAGACCTATCTCCACACAGTGACAATTGCAGGTGATCAGGGCTCTAACAGGCAGCCTAGGAGACTGTGGAAGTCTAAAATGGCATGAACTGGGGAGCAGAGACAGCTTCTTAAAGAAGGGGACAGCTTGCATGAGACCTAAAGGATGAGCTAGAGTCCTATGTCTGTCTTGTTCACTAGTCTCCAGGGCCTCAGTATCTTTCTTGTCAATGCAGTCAATTATTAGACATTCCCTCTATACCTGGTTTGCACTAGACCCTGGCTATATGCCAAAATACAATGACTGAGACAGACCAGCATCCACCTCCTGAAGCTCCTACCCCGTCCAGGAGACATACTTGCCAACAGTGATGATCTGGAATGGTCAAGGTCATGATGGGGTATGGTGATCAGGGCTGGGATGGTGAGGCGGGGGAGGTGCAGGCAGCATAAACAGGTTTGTGATGGGGAATGTGCAAGCAGGGTTCTGAGCTAGGGATGGGAAGCCCAGAGAAACATTTGACTTAACCGAGCATCAGAGAGGGCTTCATAGAGAAGGAAGCATCTGAGCTATCTTACCTAAATACTAAGTAGGATTTGAGTGGAATGGGGAAAGGCACTTTAGCAAAGGGAATAGTATGTACAAAGATAGAGGGATGAAGGGGAAAACTTTTTTTTTTCCTTTCTTATCTCTGTATAGTGAAATGTGCCCTGTGGTGTGTAGGGATACAGCAGTGACTAGGGTAGCCCTGGCTCTGCTCTCAGGGAGTTCCCAATCCATAGACACAGATCCAGATCAGTGAAGATCCAGAAAGTTTAAGAGTGGTGGGGGAGGGCCCTCTCTGGTAGCATAAGGGGTGAAATGCACAACACTAAGAAGCTATCTACAGCCACTGCAGCACAAGTTCGATCCCCACCCAGGGTGCTGACCCACATGGTGCAGCAGACCTCTCCTTTTCTCTCCCACTGCTCCGCCAATTTGCTTGTTCTGGCCCACCACTCTGTCTCACCACCCCTCCCTTCTCTGGCCTGTACCCCAGTTCTTATATGCCTAAATAAACCTTGAAGAAAAAAAAAGGGACAGAGAAGCTCAAAAGGGGACTGATACCAGACTTAGGATGGGAATCAGGAAGGGCTCCCTGCAGGAGCGGACATTTGAAGTCAGCCCTGAAGAATGAGGAGCTCGCTGGTTAAGAAGAGGGTAGGGCAGAGATAATGACATATTAAGACCTGGAGGTGAGAAATCTAGCAGTACCTAGAATTTACCAACAGCCCAGTCCAGTCAAAAAGGAGTGGGAACTGACAAACCTATAAACTAAAAAGCAAAATTTGCCAAAGATTAAGAATGCGAGTCTCCCCACCCCTTTCTCACAGTTATGACCTTAGAGTTAAAGGCCTCTATTCCTACAGACAGCAGAACCAGCTGTGGGCTTGGCTCTCAGAAGTACCTATCATTCAGGTGGTCTGCCTAGGCACCACGGCCCTCCCCACCTCCACCCCGCACACGTAGGGTGAAAACCACAGCCGCAACCACTGTTTTTCTTCCATGTTTAATTCGATATCACAGGAGCACCAATAAATAGTTCCTTTCCGCACCCGCAATCTTCTTCCTGCCCGGGACAGGGTCCCAAGGGCTGGCTTCCCTCAGGGGAAGGCACCTGCAGCCCAGAACGCCGCTGCTAGCTGCTCGGACCAGCCGTGCAGAATTCCCCCCCAGAGTTCCAAAGGGGCGTGGCCCCTGACACCACCGGAGTAATTGCTGGGACAACCCCAAAGAAGAGGGCGGAGCCTCTCAGGGGGCGTGGTTCTCATCTGCCGCGGTCACTATGACGTCCATCCAAATGCGCATGGCCTCGGGGCTAGGTGCCACCATGTAGAAAAGGCGTTCATAGGTTTTGACACAGAAGGTCAGGCGAGGGCTGGGACTCTAGAAATTAAGTAGTGGAGGCGGTGAAGTGAAATGACACGGGCCCACCCTGAATTATAATCCCAGCCTTAAAAGCTGTGCAGCTTTGATCCTCTAGTCACCTTCCCCATCTAGGTTCCCAAATGAAGCTACCTACCTCACTGGGTTACGAGGATTAAATGAATTAACTCGGGAGAAGGGGTTTCAGATTTGGAGAGCAAGGAGGATCCATATCCCTTTTCCCCAGCCTAGTTTCTGTATTAGAAACAGGCATTCAAAATCCTCCTCCTCTAAATTTAGGTACTCCTGATTTGTGACTGGGGAAAGCTAATGTCTACAAGCCATTTACTAAGTAAACTACTTGCCAGCCCTGAACTGAGTAAATCCTTATGTCTGTTTTTAACTTCAATTCTAAGGAAGTGGGTTGAAGTGTACCCATTTTACAGTTGGGAAGACTAATGCTGCTGTATCTCCACTGGAATTCCAATCTAAGCTCTAAAAAGTCATTGCTGGTTGCTCTCCAAGGAGTACCAATTGCCAGCTACCTACATTTCTGTTGCTGCACAATTCCTGAGTTTTTTTTGGTGGGGGAGGAGAGTTATCACAGTATACCAAGGGACCCATTCCCATTTGGCAATCATGGACAGAAGCTGAGAAAGTATAATCCTCTTTAGATACTCCCAGGATGCCTCAGACCTCATCCTATCCTCTTCATTTAGTCTCAGCCAGGCATCAGGATTTACCAAATTTTTGCTCTAACCCTTTTGTGTCAAGAAATAGCAGCTGAGAATTAGAGACCAGCAGCTTAACTTTGGTCCCTACAGTGAAATTAAGTGTTGGTCTCTTGTGCTAGTGGGGTCTTGGGTGGCCTTTCTCAAGACAAGCTAAGCAGGGACTCCAGTAGCAGGGGAGGGGGTGGTTCACCTTGAAGGCACAGCGTAAGTGGTCATAATAGACTTCCTCAATGGCCTGGAAATAGATGACACCTTTGAGTTTGGTCTCTTCCTTATCTGTTGAAGGAGGTGAGGGAGAAACAAAGGGGTAAGGGTGTTATGACAGGGATCATTGAGCCCAAGTCCCAGAACTGTATAGGGGTAAGACACAGGGTGACTGAATCTAAAGGCTCTAAGGTTGGAAGGTGAATGAATGTTGATGCTGGAGGAGAGACTGGTACAAAGAATGGACAAGATGGGAGTGGGAACTGGGAGCTGGAATCCTTAGGTCCCCAAATGCCTTTGTCCCTGACAATGGAAGGGAGTCAAGGACAGGTTCAAAGTCTCTGTTTCCCTGGAGAGGAAAGACAAGGTGCCTGGATGGGGGAGGGAGAGAGGGTTACAATATGGTTCTGACTTTTGGCTATCTTAGGAAAATGGGGCCAGAGATGTCTAAAACCATTACCAAATAGGGTCAGACTGATAAAGAGGAAGAGACTGGGGAGTTGGGGAAAGTAGGGGCTAGGAGCCCAGACCCCTGGGTGATGGGGAAGAAAGGGCTGGAGGGCCACATTCCCAGACCCTAGGGAAAGTCAGGGTAGTAGGAAGTGGGGGGCTAGATTCTGAGAGAATCTGAGAGAAGAAGGGGCTAGGGATCCAGACTCACTGACCTAAGAGAAAAGGGGGATGAGGAAGGGAAAGGTGTGTGCATGGGGGGGGTGCAGGGGGGGGGGGCTAGACTCTTGAATGTTCTCTCTCAGCCTACTGGGAGACCCAGGTGACTGGCCGGACTTACCCGCGTAGTAGGCCAGGCGGCGGGCCTGGCGGTCGAAGCAGAACCACCGCTTCCTCCAGGTCTTGATGCGGCCGCCCATCTTCACCAGGGGTCCGCGGCAGCAGCCCCCGGACACCCGGAGATGCGGGCAGTTGTCTGGGTTGTGGCCCCATCGTTCCAGATGCTGCCTAAGATCCAAGACCCGAGGGCCAGAAGGGCGGGGCGGGGGCGAGGGCGGGGCCTGGAAGGGAAGCAAGGGGGGCTGCTGAAGAGGCAAAGGATGTGGAAAATGTCCTGCATCCTGGCGGCCTGCGGCCAGTCTTTAAAGGGTGATCTTGGTGGGTGACCCTGACAATCATTCCAATGGCTAGTTAGTTAGGACTGGGACATCTCCCCAGAGCTTCCCCTTCTCAACTCCTGGAGTCCCCAAGGAGATCTCTGGGATAGGTCAGCTGTGAGTAAACAAGGTGTAGAGATGAAGGAATCCTAGAGCTCGCCCACAGCCCCTTTGGGGACCCTCATCCATAGCCTCTGTGAAGCACGGGCCAAAACTAAGTGGTCAGTAAATGAGAGCACTGTTTCCATGCTTATTATTGTTGTTATTCCTGTGATGAAGTCAGTGATTACTGCCTCTGCCTAGCACCCTGTAGATATAATCCCTTTGCCCTCCTCAAATTCTGGGAGTTCATCTATTTTACAGATGTGAAAACCAAGACTCAGAGAGGTTAAGTCACTAGACCTCGTTCACACAGCTGAGCTGACTAAGCCAGGGCTCACCAGGCAAAGAGATCATTTTAGGTGAGGGAGAAGAATTAAAGCCATGAATCTCTTTTATGAGAGTCTGACCACAGACCCAGCTCAATCTGCTTCTTCTTCTAAACAATCCTGCTAAGAATGGTCTGATCCCTGCGGCACACTGAGGCTGAGAGCCATACATCTGGACCTTTGGGGTAGGCCCCTAGGAATGTTGTTAAAATGTAGAACCTGAGTTATTCCAGGGTGGGGGACCATACTCTGAGTATCAAGGCCTGAGAAAACGAAAGTGAATTCAGAGCAAGAAGGAACGAGAAACAGAGAGACTCCATGGATAAGCACAGGACAGCAGAGCAAGGGAGTGAGGGGGAACCAAGGAAGTCACAGGAGAGGCAAATTGAAAGGGTACCCTGAAATCTTATGTAGAGTTATCTCCCTTTTGCAGCACATGATGGAGCTGGAAAAGATAATGCTTAGTGAAATAAGCCAGAAGGAAAAGGAAAAATACTGGACGGTTTCACTCATAGCAGGAGTATAAAGGACCAAGCGAGAAAATAATAATAATAAACAACTATATACCAGAGACATTTTACGGGGATGAAGTGGGGAATAGGATTAAAAACATTGGGGGGAGGGAGGTGCACTGGAATATGGTGATGGCACATGGGTGACTTGGTGATGGGAAGCCCACGGGAATTACAACTGAGATGGAAAAAGGGATAAAATGATGTAAAAATAAACTACTATAAGAAAAAAAAAGTCATCTCCCCAAATCCTCCTAGTAACACGAATGATCACCAAGCTGTACAAAAATTCCCATTGTGTGCCTGACAAGGTGTCAAGCTATCAGTCTTCAACTCCTCTCCAAAATTACCTACTATTGTCTCCATTTCCCAGATGTGGAAACTGAGGCCTCTGGAGAGGAAGCAACTCACCGAGGTCACCCAGGCAGGATGTGTTGGAGCCAGGCCCCAGTCCAGAGGAGCAAACATGCACTTGGAACTCTGGACTACGCTGCACACCTGTGTCACCTCCTGGGAAGCCCTGCCCTGCTCAGAGCCTCAGTTTCCATCTGCAGAAACACGAGGCATGCCCCTGGCATAGCTGTTTCAAAGACGAGCTTTGTGCTGCTGGGCTCCTGCCTCAGTTGTTGTGATCTCAGAGGCACGCTTGATCATGTGCAAAAGGTAGCTTGGGGTAAAAGTGGGGGTGGGGGAGTGTACACAACAGGGTTGTTGAATAAATAATGATGTCCTAGGTTTTGTAGGCACCAAAAAAAAATAAATAAATAAAATTAAAAGATGCCCCAAAGCAGGAGCACTTCATTTTTAATGATTTAGAATGTGTGACTAACAACCCAGAAGTCTCTGCCTCCCTTCTAGCTTTATTCAGCTCCCCTGGCTTTTAGCACCTGACATGCTATTGAATTTACTCATTAATGCTGCTTTTTGTCTGTCTCCCACTAAAGCCAGCTTTCCTGAGGTAGGGATTGTCATTTTTGTCACTGATGTAACCCAGTCTTAGCCCACTAACTACTGATAGACATGAATAAGAAAAAGACAAACAGTTTGAGAAGACAGAAAAACTGGTTGGCAGTGATGTGCTCATCACATAAGAAGGTGGGCTGAGTGTACATGTAAAAGTATGCAGAAGGTAACAAAGGTTTCTCAACAAGAGAAAGCACTTGCATCCTGAAGTCTGATGGAGACCAGCACTTTCTTTATGTCAGGTTACGTTCTTCAAAACAAAAGTGTGTCTGTACTACTAGCATAGTTAAAAAATAAAACATTAGGCTCTCCCTGGTTACAGTGCAGCACTGCAAAGCTGGCCGAGGGCAGCTTCCCTTTGAGTTTGATCCCCAGCCAGGGAGGTGACCCACATGGCACAGCAGACCTCTCCTGTCTTACCTGCTACTCCCCTCAGCAGTATACTTCAGTCCACCCCACTCTGTCTCTAGTGAGTTCTCTCACCAAACCCCATACCTCTGGCCTACACCCCAGCTCTTGTATGCATTCATAAAATGAATCTTTAAAGAAAAGAGTGAAAAGAAAGGGTGGAGGTCAGGGGGTGAAACAGCAAGGAAGCAGGGAGAGGGTGAGCTAGGACTCACCATGATGGCAGGGACAGTGGGGCCTGCAGAAACTTCTGGGTTTCTTCTGGTCCCTTCCTGTGGATTCAGGAGGAAGGAGTCAACAAGGATGCTAACCAATACAATGTTGTGAAAATATACAGGGGTCTAGGTCTTAGCAGGCATTGGAGGGCTGCTCTCTTGGGTCTTAGGGAGGAGGGGTTGGAGTTTGGGCTCCAAAAGGAGCTGAAGTAGGATACTGGGGGGCAGGAGGGAAGGGGTCCTAAGGAGGAAGAGATTCTGGGGTCTCACCCTGGCCTTGAGAAGCCGTTCCCTCTCTGCCACAGCCTGCTGCAGGAGCTGCTCCATGCGGGCAATGTCTGGATGGAGGACCCCACAGCTAGAGGGAGGAGAGGCCAGGGAAGGTTATAGTGGCCTAGCATTTTCCTCCCATCTCTCCACCTTTCTCCCTGTCACCTTACCTGTTCCTAGGGCCACAGTTCAGCAGCTGATAGAGGGGATGTCTCCCAGAGTCCCCTGTGGCTGGGGGGAGAGCAGAGGCCTTCAGAGGTCCTGAGGGAGAAGGGCTGGGGCTAAGGAACCAGCTTTGTCCTTGTCCAACCCTCCCTTCTCCCCCATACAGGAAGGCATCCAGTCTTCCCCACTGTATGCTGCAGGAAGGGAGTAGTGGATGTAGAGATACATGAGCATAGGAACAGATCTCACCAGTACAATGGAGGGAGAGAGGGCGGGGGTCCCCCCTCTGGCTTGTCCTCTCTCCCCTCTTCCGGGTCAGGCTTCCTGTCCTCTGGAGGCCAATGGCACCCTAGAAATACATAAGAGCCAGACACACAGAAAAGATTTTCAGTTTCACCGTAAGTGTAGACAGGGACCCTAGGGCCCAGAGGAGAAGAGTATGCCAGAAAAGACTGAGAGAAAGGGTGTTCCAGGTAGGAAAATCAGCACGTGCAAAGGCCCTGATGCAAGAACAAGTGTGGTATAATGGAGTGTCAGTGTTCCCGCAGCTGAGCAAAGTAGTTGTGGGGGAGAGTGGTGGGAGGTAGGCAGGACCCAGATCATGTAGCCATATGAGCAGGTTAGAAGGGCACTAAATGGAAGAGGGAGAATAAAGATCCCTCCAGCTGTTTTGTAGGGAGTAGTATGGTGGGAGACAAAAAGTTAAGATGGCACAGGTCACAGAAACCAGAAAATGTGGCAGAAGGAGGGGGAGGCCACTAATTATAACAATATGAATAGCTGTAAATATAATAAGAGTAACAGCGTAACAGCATCCTAAGTTTTCTGAGCACCTGCTATGTGCCAAACTCCATGCTAGCACTTTAACTGTTAACCCATGGGTGCTGTGATTATTCCCATTCTCCAGGTAGGTAAACTGAGGCACCCAGTGGCATCTACATTTAGCTTGGGTTCAAACACCTGTTATGTCACTTCCTAGTTGGCTAAATGTAGATTAGGTATCACGAATCCTGGAAAGAAGGGGTAGCATTTGAGAAGGGTTCACAGTCCAGGGAGGAAGAAAGATAGAACGAAGGGGAGTGATTTTTTTTAAAGAAGTATTTATTTATCATACAAGAACTGGGGTATAGGCCAGAGGTGTGGAGGTAGGGTGAGAGGATTCACTAGAGGCAGAGCAGGAGCAGACAGGCAGATTGACTGAAACACACTGCGGAGAGGAGCAGCAGTAGAGACAGGAGAGGTCTGCTGGCCGGGATCAAATTCCTGCGGCAGTGGAGATGGGTAGCTTCAGAGTGCTGTGGCTTAACCAGCACTTGTGCCACCAGGGAGGCCCGATTTGTTCATTTTTGTACTCATTTACCCACTTGTTCATCTGGCTGAGTTAGTAAATACTCATGGGGTGCTTCATGTACCTTGTGGTCTTTGAGTATCCGAGAACTGCACTAACCACAGGGCCCACTTGGATTCTGAAAGATTCCTGAGAAACAATGTCCCTGAAAGGCACAGTTCATGCCACTTACTGGGTGTGAGACTTGGCTTTCTGGGGCTAGATTTCCCCTCTGCAAAGTGGTGAGGTAAGAAGTGAATGAGTGACTTCGTGCAAAGCACACAAGCCCTTGCCTGGCACAAGTGTTCAGGGGCCAGTGCCTACCATCCCTTGTAACACCCAGGTGGCAGGTGGGTGTGGGATCACAGCGATGGAGATCCATGTCCACATCCGTGGTATGAGGCCCACTTGTGTCCACAGGAGCCAGTGATTCAGGGAGCAACTCCATAGAAATGGACATGGCCTCCCACCAAATATTTACAGCTATGGGATTTACTAGAAGGATTTTATGTGATCTAAGTTGTGCTGCCTGGCATCATGGCCACCCTCCACCATTATCACTTTCTGGGCAACGAGTCTGGAAAGGTCCGGAAGATCTGCCAACCTTTTACCCAGATAACAGGACCTACTTCTGCAGGTCCTTCTGAACAAAAATGAAATATAAATGTCTTTGCATAAATATGAAGTGTGTGTATGTAATACTATATATAATATACAGTATATATCTTATATATATATGGTAGTATATGTAATTTTGTAAAGCTGTAATGTGTTCATGAATTATAATATCACCAAAATATATATATATAGGGCCCTCCTGGTGGTTCAGCGGGTTGAAGCACAGCACTGAGAAGCTAGCTGCAGCCGCTTCATCATGATCCCCAGCTGGCCAGGGTGGTGACCCACATGGCACAACAGACCTCCTGTCTCCCCTGCTGTCTATATAGCTCCCCACTCTGTCTCTGGTGAATTCTCTCACCACCCCTGCACCTCTGGCCTGTGCTCCAGTTCATATACATACACATGTTAGTTTGAACCAATGTCAAATTACTGTTTCTCATCTCCAAATAACAGCAATTTCATATGGTTGAAAGCAATAAAAAGACTTCAAGTCTGGCCTATATTAAGCACTCAAAAAGTATTATTATTATTGTTACGTTACCTTAGAGAAGATATTAACAATATCAATTCATGTTATTCTTGTACATACACAGACACACAGAGAAAAAAGTATTCAAAACACAGTTGCTTAAATTGCAAAAAACTCCAATCATCCTCCTTAAGAGAAGGATTGGCTGAAAGCCCATGTAGAATGTGTACTCCATGGAAGCCCAGAGTGTTCTAGAGCACAGCTTCTGAAAACAGACTACCCGGGTTCATATCACTGCCCTGCCAGACACTGACTAGTTAAATAACCATCTAAGCCTGTTTCAACTATTATAAAATAGAATTAAAAGCCTGGTTGGCAAAGTTATTGCAAAAATCAAATAAGCAAATGCATGGGTAGCAATTCAAACATTGCCTGGCACACGAGGAGTCAATAATACTAGTTGTCCTGATTATTATGCATGTTATTATTATTACAGAACTATTAAAAGTGATGAACAACTCTAAAGCAACAATAGAAAATGATCTCCAACCTAGAGTGTTACAGCAGAAAATAAAAACCAATAGTTAACATACACCTTTTTGAAAAATATCTATCATATTCCAAGAACTACCCCATGTCTAAGCACTAACTATATGTCCACACCACTGAAACACATCTTTTTCAACTCCTATTCACCCAACCTCATACACAAACTGTCATTTCACTTAAAATTAGAAATTAGGGGCCTCCCTGATGGCCTAGGGGTTAAGCCTCAGTGCTATCACTGTGAAGATGGCCTGAGTTCGATCCCCAGCCAGGGAGCTGACCCACATGGCACAGCAGACCTCTCCTGTCTCGCCTGTTGCTCCTCAGCAGAGGGTTTCAGTCAATCTGTTCTTCTCCCGACTCGGTCTCTGGTGTATACTCTCACCTCCTGCACCTCTGGCCTGTACACCCAGTTCTTCTAAAAATAAATAAATCTTAAAGAAGATTAGCAAGTAGTAATTCCTTCACAAGTTGACATGCCTAGTTTGAAGGAAGCCTCTCTGGAAAGGATTTGCAAGAAACAAACAGCTGCGCTGAGGGGCAGGGAGCTGTGGACGGCAGGGAGAGGAGCGCTTCTTGCCAATAGAACCTGTTGAACCACTGATGAAATTTACTCGGCATGCACGTCCCCATTTCACCAGAAGAAGGGTACGACAACAAGCAGAAGAAAGGAGACAAAAATAGGAGTCAGTCATGCTGGCTCTCTCCCATGTATACAAGATGTATACATGTTGCTATTAAACTTCTTTTTGATGTTAAAAAAAAGGAAAAATAATAATCATTATAAAGCTGGAATCTGTTAAAATAAATAAATAAATAAAGCCCTGGGTCATCCTTCTCTGTCCCCCACGACAGGGTGAACCAGTGAGATGGACCAGTGAGACACGTGAGGAACCGAAGCCGAGGGGGCGGAACCTGCAGGGAGCTGTGAACCGAGAAGAGGCAGGAGGAGGTGGCAGCAGTGTGGGCGGTGGGGTCCTGGAGCACCAGCAGCTGGCGGTCTGTCTTCTGAGTGAAGAGGAGCTGTAAGAGAGCAGAGAAGGTTGATGGGAGCTGGAAGGATCACGGGGGACCCTCCAGTTCCCCGATGTCCTGCCCCAGGCCTCCAGTGCCAGCCCATTTCTTAGATGGAAAATACAAAAGCTCAAGGGCTGCAGTGTGGGCTTAATGTCCAAGCCTCCCACACCCCAAATTCTCCTCCCCATATAGGGGGGGGTCTGTGGGTAGAGACTGATGGTTCCCTGAGAAGGGGCTGAGGAAGGAGGAGGTGGGGGAAGGATGTCAGGGTCTGAGGGAGGAGGAGATGCACTCCTATATCTGAAGGAGAGGTGGGGGTCTAGACTCAACAGTCACAGGTGAATGAAACCCCCCTACCTTAGTGAGGGCCTGGTTGGACTCAGAGAAGTCCCCATCGGGATTTCCCTGAAGGCAGTTAAGCTCAAGCAGTCGGCTGCGTTCCTAGGAAAGAACAAACTGTCACTGACTACCATATCTCAGAGGAAATGTGCCATCCAGCTGCTTCCCTGATGCCAGCAGACATCTGGGGCACAGGGAAGCCATGGGATGCCCAAGTGGGAAGTGAAGATAGTAGGACAGAACTCCAAACTGGGAAGTTACCTGTGTCAGGGCCTGCAGGGCCTCTTCCTTCTTCCGACTCAGCCCCCGGCTCTCTGCTGCCATTTGCTCCCCTAGAGACTTGAGCTGCTCTTCCAAGACCTGGATCCGGCGCTGCAGAAAGACCCAAGGTTACTGGTTACACATCTGCTCCAGGAGGGCCCACACACTCCCAGCCTCACCGCCCTGCAAAACCAGGGCTTTGTTGGGCTTCTATGCTCCATTCCATAATAGAGACAAGGGGACATGGGGTGCCCAGGAGGGGTGGAGCGACTCAATTAAACTCTCTTGTGCCTTCTTCCCTTTTGAGGATCCAGAAAAGACCAGGGGTTGGAGGATAGAGAGAGAGACTGAGGGACACAGAGACCCAGAGAGTTGCCAAGAACAGAGAGAGAACAGAGACAAACCATCACATAAACAGAAAAGGCGTGACCAAGACAGGGCCTCCGATTCCTACCGCAGAGTCAGAGATGCTGAGAGAAGGCAGAAATAGCACAGAGAGAAGTTGTGTGAGACAGAGGAAGAGAAAAGACAGAGATGAGAAAAAGATGCAGAAATAGAAGTGGGGAGTAGAGACGCACATCAGACCTTCCAAAACTATGGAAAACTTCTGTGTTAAATATAGCTGAGTAAGTGGCTTTTCCAGCAGGATCTGTCAGACCCTTGAAAATAAGGCTCCAAGTGGTTCCTCAAACTGCTAAACATGGAGCTTCCCTACGACCCAGCAATTCCACTCCTAGGGATCTACCCAAAGACACAAAAACACTGATTGAAAAAGATACCTGTACCCCCATGTTTACTGCTGCTTTATTTACAATTGGAAAAACATGGAAGCAGCCCAAATGCCCAAAAGTAGGTGACTGGATAAAAAAGATGTGGTACATATATACCATGGAGTATTACTCAGCAACCAAAAAAGAGAAACACATGTCTTTTGCAGCAACTTGGATGGAGCTGGAAAAGATCATGCTTAGTGAGATAAGCCAGAAAGAGAAAGAAAAATACCGGATGGTTTCACTCATAGCAGGAGTATAATGGACCAGGCGAGAAAATAACAAAAATAATGAACAACCATATACCAGAGACATTTTGTGGTGGTGGAGTGGGGAATGGGATCAAAAAGGGGGGGGGAGAAATGCACGGGATTATGGTGATGGTGATTTGGTGATGGGAAACCCGCGGGGATTACAATCGGGATGGAAAAAAAAATGTACAAAATGATGTAAAAATAAACTTTCGTAATAAAAAAAAACCAGTATGGAAGTTTCCCAGAACATTAAAAAAGAAAATAAGGCTCCAAGAAAAGAAAGGGGATATCTTTTTGAATTAGTATTTGAGAGGCAGAGTCCCGTGGTGAAAACCAGTAGGTTCAAATCCCAGCTCAAGCCCCTCCAAAGTAAGTGACCTTGGAAAAGATTACTTGGGCACCTTCAGGGTCTTCTTTATAAAATGGGAAAAATAATAGAGATTGTGGTAAGGATTCCATGAGTCAATACTCAGTTAATGTTTAGAGTCGTGCCTAACACCAGTCAATGTTCAAAGTCAGCTACCGTTGAGAGTATTCTGAAGGACAGGACAGGGTTTGGGAACGAGGACCACAAAAGGACCAGGCATGGTGTGGAGGAGACAGAGGACAAGGGAGAGGAAGGCAGAGCTAGCCCAGCCCAGCTCACCCTGTGCTGTGCCACGCTGGCCTGAAGTTCCTGGACCCTGGGATCCAAGGCCCGGGCCCCAGAGCTGTCCCGATCCTCCTCTTCACGCCGGCTCTCCCGTTCCAGTTGCTGGAACTCCAGATCTTCGTAGGCACGCTGGGCCACGTCCAACTGTTCCCTCATCTGTCCAGGGAACCCAAAAGGGCTGGAGAAATGGACCCATAGGACCCAGGGGAGTTGTGGGCTGGGGCCAGGTCAGGGGCCAGGGATTAAAGGCCTGATCTCCTGCGTCAGGAAATTGAGGCCTGAATTCCTAGGTGGGAGATATGGAAAATTGAGGAGCTGGATTTCTGGGTCTTGGACACCAGACCCCAGAGAGGGTCCCCAGGGCCCTCACCTCCTGCACCCCCTGCAGAAGTCGCTCACGCTGGTCCTCTGGCTGTGACTCCAGCTGTCCCTGGGCCTCCTGGAGTCTCTGCCGGAGAACTTCCACTCGGTCCCGCTCTTGGCTCAGACGCCTCTGCTCCTGAAAAAAAGAACCAGACTCTTACTTAGCCTCTGCCTGGAGCATGGAGAGGGAAACCAGCCAGCGAGGCCCAGACTATCCTGACCTCAGACCTGGAGTGTCGGCTTTAGGGCAGCATAACCCTGTCTGTCTGGTTCACTCTCAGTCAGGCCTGTCCCAAGTCAGGCCTGTCAAGTAAATAGTGTTTAAGAGATGGATGAAGAAATAAATGTAAAACACATCCGGGCCAGGTGACAGATGCTAGGGTCAACCCTGCACCCTGTGTTCCAGGTGGGGAAAAAGCCACTTACAGCCTGGAACAATCAGGACAGTGAAACATAGAGATTGTGGGAAGCAAAAGGGGGAACAATTTCAACTAGGGTAATCCAAGACTTTCTGGATGTGAGGGTTTTAAGGCAAGTTTCAAAGATCAGGAACATCTATCTACCTGAAGAGCTAGAGGCAGCTAGAAGAACATTTCGGGCAGAGGAAATACCATGCACAAATGCAGAGACATCGACAAGTACAGGAATCTTAGAGGGTAAACTCTGGTGAGGAAGGTGATGCAGTGGAAGACAAATATGGCAAGGCATAGCTCATGTCAGGGGCAGTGAGGAGCCATAACAGGATCAAAAGGCTGGAGTGGGATCTTTTAGAAGCACCCTTCCAAAGATCTAAGAAGATAGACTTTGGAGGGGCTAAGATGGCTCCTTTGAGTGCTCCCTGCAATGAGGATGACAATTAGGGTACAAAGGACTTGAACGAGAGAGAAAATTTCAAGGCCTAGAAAGATCAGGACATGTTAATTGACAGTAAGTGACAGGTTGATTCAGCTGATAGAAAATGTGCACAGAAAAGCCCAGAACTCTGACCTGGTGACCAAGAGGACAACAAAACGGAGTTGCTGAGGTCAGTTCTGGACACAGTAGGTCCGAAGGGGTTAGACTCCTGGGACTGAGGGAGAAGGGGCCGGGGCCTCGACTCCTGGGTCTGAGGGAGTAAGGGCTGGACTTCTGGGTCTGAGGGAAGCGGAAATGCAGGATTGGAGGATTCATACCGAAACCAGCATGCTAAAAGGGAGGACATACAGCTCCCTTGATTTGGGGAGACAAATCAGAGCTGGAAGACACAGAAACTTTTTGAGGGCAAATAAGGGCTTGGGACTCAGCCCCAGAAAATTATCCAACATACAAAATAAGGACAAAGAGAAAAACTGGATAGAATTCCAAAGTTGCCATTTTCCAAACTATAAAAATAGCTAGTCCAAGCAATGACTACCAAGAGATGTTCAAGCCTTAGGTGAAGGATTGTTACAAAGAGATCAAAGTGAGTCACTGCGGTCTAGACAACCAGAGCCGATGACCCCTTGTCACAGTGCCTCTACTTCTATCCAAGCACCTGCAAAGGACACCACAGACCCACAGCTGGCTACATCCTGACCAGGACAATTTGATGTGAAACAACACATCAGCCCTTAGTTGACCTCATCTGCCCCCAAATAGTCACTGTTAACTAGCACTTTCAGTCTGTGACACATGGTGGAAATGAATCCATTGTAAAAACTTATGATTCTGAAGGTGTGATGATGGGATAGGGACAGTGTGACAAAAAGGACTCTTGTCTGTAAACCACACATGCTAAAGTACTGACAGACAACAGGCTGTCTGGGATTGGCTTTTAAAACTAGGGATGGCGAAACCACGAGATAGGGTGAGAGGGGTCACAGAGTGACTCTTCTGTTTTTGCTGGGTTCCCTATGACATTTAAACAGCAAATAAAGAGGGAAAAGGCATGAAGCCCCAGTGAGTCAGGCCCCAGTATAGCAGCTTGGGCGGGGGAGGAAAGCAGGAGGGAAACAAACCCTCCCTGGAGCAAGTCCAAGTAACCCCTGTTGGCTAATGGGGACAACTGTGGTTCTCAGATCCCAGAAGCAGCACCAGGACCCTCCTTCCCACAAAGGAAACTTTTTTTTGATGTTGGCAGAGCTAACAGACCTGTTCCCGCTGCTCACGGCTGCCCTGCTCAGAGTCCACCTGCTGTCCCAGCAGCTCCCGCAGCTGCTCCTCTTCCCGTCGAGCAGCCACTCGCTCCCCTGCCAGCTCACCCCGCAGCAGGGCCACCTCCACCTCCATCTGCAGAGAGAATGCAAGGCCTGGGACCCAAGGGTCTGGGACTGAGGAAGCAAGGGGCTGGGGACTCGATGTCCTTGTCTGATGGGGGAATCTGGGAGCCAGAATTCCTAGTTCAGAGTGACAATGGGGCAGGTGGGCAAGCCTAGCATCCAGAAGACAGCCTGGCCATCGGGTTCCCCGGTGAGTTGGACTCAGCCTTCCCAAGAGATCTGCATCCTCACCTCGATCCTCAGCTCCTTCCTCTGGCGCTGAAGTTCCTTCACTCGCTGCTCCATCAGGGCCACGCGAGTCAGGGCCTCTAGTTGCTGTCCTCGAAGCCGCCTCGCAGCCCCTCGCACATCCTCCCCAGGCTGGCTGGATGCCAGGGATGTAGCCAGGTCCTGAGAGGGAAGCGGAGCCTCTGCCTGAGATTCGAAAGGTCAAATGGAGAGGTATCCAGCAGTCACTAAGCAGGTCTATTTCCCCATTCTATACCCTTGGCCTGACATTCCTCTGATGATCTTATTCTGCAAGGGAGGGTGCAGGTCTCCAACCACAAGAGTCCAGGGAAGGGGTACGAAGACCCCTCCATCCAGGTCCCCTTTTCTTGGTGTCCCCATGAGCCCTGGATTCTCTCTCACTCTCTCTTCTGGGTATCTGCGTCATCCCGTTTCTCTGTCTTCATCTCTCTGCCTGACTTGCTATGTCTCTTTCTCCCTCGAGTATCTCCCTCTCTTAAGGTTTCCCGATCTCTATTTCTGCTTTTGGGGGCACCTTTGTTTCTGGGTTTCCATTTGTTTAAGTCTTTGTCCCTGTATTTGTCTCTTTCTCTCTCTTCTTTCTGTGTCTCTCTTGGATCTTGGTCTTGCAGCCTATCTACATGTCCTTGGGTGTCTATGCCTGTCTCTTCGTGTCTCTCTCTCTCTCTTGGTCTGAGTCTCTCTGGCTCCGTTTGGGTCTCAATCGTTCAGGAGTCTCCATATCTCTAGGGTTCGTGTGCTGTCTAGAGGTCTCTAACAGTCTCTCTTTGTCTCTACCCACCTGGTCTCTCTCTGGGTCTCTCTTGAGCCTCTATATCTCTGGGGCCTTCTTTCGTCTCTCTGTGTCGGTCACGCACTCGCTCAATCTGTCTTAATAGACCCTTTTCCCCTTCCCTTGCTCTCGTGCTCCAGGACCCTCACCGCGTCGCGGCTGCTCTCGGTGCTGCTGCCTTCTCCTACTTCTTCCTCTTCTTCCGCCTGCTGCTCAACTCCTCTGCTCCGAATTTCCGCAGGAGACTCCTGGAGATCGCGGAGATCCTCCGAGTGTTCCAGGGGCTGAGATGCCCCTTGGGGCTGGACCTGCGCGTCGCATTCTGGGACCGATGGCGGCGGGGTACCCTCGTCTGGACTGCTCGGCGTCCCCATGGCCTCTGGGTTGCTCCGACGGGTAGGCGGGGCCCGGGGCTCTGGGGCGGGGTCTGGAAGCGTGGGGGCGTGGCCCAGGAGTCCCAAACTCCGCGCCCGACTTGCTGGTGAACAGAGTCCTAGGGGTGGGGCCTAAGAGTTCAAAGGCTGAAGCTGAACATTCCGGGAGCATGGCCTGTAGTTTCTAGGGGCGGGGTTCGATGGACCCTAGAACGCCCCGCCCCGAAGGCGGGACCGGAATTTGAGTCCGGGGTCCTCTTAGCGCGACCCGTACAGGCCTCTCCTTTACAATCCAGTACCCAGCCAGATCCTCCCAGCAGCCCCCCACAATTGCTTGGGCCACGCGAGAGCGATCTCGTCCCCTCCCTTGTGTGCTAAGGATTTACACCCCCTGACTTCGGGATTCTTGTAAACTCGGCTCTCCCCGGCTCACCCAGAGACCCAGGATTTGGGGCTCCTATTCTCCCTTGTCGGGCAAACCGGGAGTCTTAAGTGTCTGGCTTCTCCCGGCTGCTAAAGTTCCGAACTCCAGCTCTTCCTCCCCCGCGGACCCAGGAAGCCGAAACTCCAGCACCCGAAGCCCCAGCAGTCCCGGTTCCCTTACCAGCTCTGACTTCGGCGCGCTCCTCTTAGCGCTCTAGGCGCTGTCGTTTCTGCGAGACAGGTGGCTGGGAAGAGGGAGGAGAGAGAGGCTTCACTGACCCCCACCCCAGCAGCCCGGAAGTGGAGGGAGGGGGGACAACAGGTCCAACAGCTCCCAAGGGAGGAGGGAGCGGCCAGCTTGCCCCGCCCGCGGCCGTGGCATCCGGCCATCCCGGGCCCATCAGCCCCACCCTCAGAAAACCTAGCATTGAGATCCTACACTCCGCCTCCAGCGCCCCCTTTTCTGCCCCCTGGACTGCCAGGCATCTCGGTCACCTATATATGATCGTCTCCCTAATGCCTAAACCCTGGTAATCCTGAAAGGAAGAGGGGACTGGAAATAGGGGCCTCTCCCCTCTAATTAGTCCTTTAGAAGGGCCCTGACCGGTTTGGGGAGCTGGACAAGGGGAGGGGGTGCCCTGCGCTGAGTCACAGACCTGCCCAGAAACGGAGGGAAGTGTGCCCCTCTCCTCTTTCCTATGGGATTGAGGGCAAGGGTTGAAGGTCCCAGCCTGATCCTTTCCTCTCTGGGCAAAAACAGGAAAATAACTGGCATGTGACAAAGGATTATTGAATTCAGGAGCTGAGCTAAACACTTTATATTGGTTAATTTAATTTCATCCTCACAGCAACCTATACAGAAAGGGATTTCTAACTCCAGCTAGGGAAACTGAGGCTGGTGGTGACTAATGAACCGAAAGTCCACGTACCAGTTGTTCTCTGGAACGCTCTGAGATCTTACCCATCAGACATACTGTCACTCCAACCCAGGAAGTGCCTGGAAGGTGGTTCCAGTAACAGTAATAGTCAATATTGACTGGAGGTCAGCCAGGCAGGAGGTGCCAAGTACCTCATAAATAAGAGACTCACGGTATCATCACAACAGCTATCATTACTATTGTTGTTGTTGTTTGTTATTTCCATTTTATAAAAGATAAAGAAACAGGCCTGGAGAAGTAAAGTACCTTAACCTGGGCCTTCACATGGTGAAACGTTCTAATCTAACATGAGAAGTGTAGCCCCAGATCTGTTTGCTTCTAATCTTGTGAGTTAGAAAATTTCCCCTTCCCCCATTCTTTCCCTGGCCTCCCTGGGGACCAGAACTAACCCCAGACACTTCAGCCTAGAAACCCAACTGTTCTCCCAGAAAACAGACTGGAGTCAGATTCAGGGCAAAAACAAAAAGATTTTTTATTTAAGAAGCTCAAGAGGCTGGTGAGGGAGGGGAAGAGAGCAGATCTGGTGATGGCTCCTCTCCACTCACCCCTCCCAGTGCGCTGTTAATGAATTTCAGTACCAGACAGCCAGGGTCAGGAAGCTGGGGTCTGGACCCCACAGCGCATGTTTGCAGGAACAGCAACATCTGAAAGGAAGAGACCAAAGATGAAACTAAAGGGTCCCATGCTCCATTGGGGACCCCCAAACCCTGAGCCATTCATATATAGTAAACTGGAGTTCTGTACCTGAGGCTCCTCCTTCCCTCACACCCAGGAGTCCAGCCCCTCCTCCAGCAAACCAGGAGTCCACACCCCCAACTGCTCACCTATCTGCTTTGGCTTGGGCAAGTTCAAGTTGTCCATGACCTTGATAAAATCTTCACAGCTGAGGGTGAGCCGAGGGTTCAGAGTCCGCTCCTCCTCCACAGTGGACACTGTGAGCCCTAGTGGCCGACAGAGGAAGAACAATGTCAACCAGTTCAGAGCCTGGAGCCTCCCAGAACTACATTTCCCAAGAGGCCATGAGTGCCCTGCTGACCGGAGACTAACCGGCTCTACCCAGAATGTGCCTGAGATTGGTTTTCTTCCTCCACAAACACTGTAGGAAATGTAGGTTCCCACCATTCCCTAAGTCTTTTAAGGAAGTCCCAGGAAAACCCACACCCTCTGGAAATCTCCGAATCCTAGTTTATAGCTCCTCATTTAGTAAACCTAGGTGAAACAGTTGATCTTTTCCACCAGAGGAATTTCTGAGAAGTATAGTCTATTCAACACTTGGGTTTGTTGCTTCTTCTCAAGTAAGTTATATTGAATACAAGTCCCACACCTCCTTCAAGAAGCCCTCACCATGGTAATCATGAGCAGGGTAGATCAGACAGTCTCCTGGAAGCGTGAAGATCTTTTCATGCACAGAGTGGTACAAGGTCTTAGCACAGCCTGGGGAAGAAAATCTCAGAGGTCAGTAGACCAAGAGCACAAAAGAAGCCTTCCAAACCCCTTCCCTCAGGAAAAAGGTGGGAGGATATAATCACTGTAATTAGCCCCACCCATTCATTTCCTGCTAGTACCCTTCTGTCTGGAGAAGAAAGGAGAAGGGAGTTGTAGGTGGATGGAACATGTAAAGTATTACAGAAATGTGAGAAATTCAGCACAGCTGTAAATAAGGTTGGGATGAGCCCCTGAAGTACCAGGAAGTTGTACCTCTCACTCTGGGGATATCAAGACGGCATTCTAAGCAGAGAAATTGGACTAGGAGTTAAGAAACTGAAAACATGGGGCTGAGAAGGCAATGGAGCCATGGTTTGGACAAGAAGCACTGGCTTGACATTTGGGGCAGGAGCAAACCTCTCTGGAATGTTCTTCCACCTTTCATTTCAGCCTAAATGAAATGAATTTCAGCCTTGGCTGTGTTGAAAGTGGATAAAGGGAAGATTAGGGGCCTCTGAGAGAAAAAGAGACCAAGATACAGAGATAAGGAGACAGAACAGGAAGCAAGAAGTGAGTGGCCTGGGGACTGTGTTGCCCATGGTCATCTCATGTGACTCTGTCTTTCCTCTCTCTTCTAGCCTGGCCTTCTTCCCTTGAGGCTGTTAAATCTCCCCAATCTAGTGTACACCCCACATTTACACATAAACTGAAAGGGCAGATGAACCCTGAGATTCTGAAACTCAACTCTCTCCGTATAGTAAAATCCCTGAATCTACCTGCCCCAGCAGCTAAACCCTACAAATGTAACACTACACTCTCATCAATGAAACCACAGAATCTAAAAAACCAGTGGCATTAAATCATACAATCTATTACTGTATGCCCTGGATCAGGTAAACTCCTGAGTTCAACTTCACACCTCTCCCCACTGCCATGCCTCTAGCAGCAAAACCTTTTATGGAGGTCTTAAAATATTCACAAATCCTCTGATTCTCTTTCCTTTGAAATGTGACTAAATTTTACCCCTGACCTTGACTTAGAACTCACATCTAATAAATAGGACATTGCAGAAACGACCACATTTGATTTCTGAGACAAGGTCAATAAGACAAAATGTTTGTCTGTCTCTCTGATCACCCTCTAGAGACATCCAGCTACCAAGTCATGAGGACACTCAGACAGCGCCCCCCCACCCCCAGCAGGGCCTCATGCTAAGGCGCCTGTGCAGTAGCATCTTGCCTGTCCTGAGGACATGTCTTGGAGGTGGATTCCCCAGCCCCATTAAGTCTTCAGGCTATTTGCTGACAACCTTGTGAGAGGCCATAAACCAGAATCACATGGCTAAGCAGTGACCAGAGGCCTGACCCTTGGAAACCATGTATGATAAGTTCTATGTGGAATTGTGTTTCATAGCAATAGCAAACACCCCCTGAATCAAACTGCCCCCCAATCTTTGACTCACCACTCTAGTAGCTAAATTCCTTGAATCTGACTCCCTAAAAGCTGAACAGTCATTCATTCATTCCTGCAATGAACTTGTTATGACCTGACACATTCATATACACGATTATGTTAGGACATCCTGCTGGGGAGAGGGGCCTATGACCTTGCTGGAAGTCCGTTCGCCCACAGCCCCGGATGAGCAAGGCATCTCCAGTGAAGGCCATGCTATGGTCATTCAGGACGAAGGTGACACAGCCTGGGGTATGGCCGGGGCTGGCCCGAGTCTCCAAGGTCTGGCAGGGAGAGAAAATATAGTCACCAGTAGGCCAGTGAAAGTAGCCCCTGAAGTTCCCACCCCAGAGTCTAGATAACTGTTTTTGGTAAAAAATTAAATGAGAGTTCTAAGTTCAAACCTCATACCAGAATAAACTCCAAATGGATAAAAAGCAAGACAATAAAACCATAAGCCAGCACAACAAAAGTGGAAGTGAAAAGCTGATTTCTGGTTAGGGAAGAACATTCCGATGTGACCCTGAAAGTCACAAATCATTTAGGAAAATATCAATGTTTTCACTTTAAAAAAACGTGAAGTTTCGGCCCTCCCTGGTGGCGCAGCGGGTTAAAGCACAACACTGAGAATCTAAAGCCACTTCCGCATGAGCTCATTCGGCCTGCCCTGGAGATGACCACATGGCGTGGCAGACCTCTCCTGACCCGCCCACTGCTCCCCTCAGCAGTGTACTTCCTCGATCTGCCTGTTCTGCTCCCCACTCTGTCTCTGGTGAAGCCTCTCACCGCCCCTGA